CAATGTAAGGTTGATTATACGCTCATGTGGTTTTTTGCAAATTAATGAACTGTTGGTTGGTTAAGAAGGCCAAGTCTTCTGATTGAGGAGCACTATCCACACAGTAAAAGCTGACCTGAAAGGGACCTAATACTAAAACTAATAAATTAATGCTCCATAAATATAAAAAGGCCTCTAACTTACATCCCAATATTAGTTATATCTTGTTTATTCCATTCCAGGATTAAACTATAATTGCCAGCTTGATATACACATAAAAATGTTCCCCTGCTACATTCATTTTTATATAATCTGATTTTTTTTTTTTTTTTTTTGCATATACAGACAGAGACATATCAAGCAGGAGAAGAAAGCAAGTGTTATATCTGTACAGAGCACAGTATGAGCCTACTACTGAAATATTGCATCCATTACTGTTATCTACTCTTCAAGGATAGTTAAAATTGGAAAAGACTAAGGGAAGAGCCTTTAGAATAATTCAAAGTCTAGAAAACCAGCTTATAGTAAAAGGCAGCCAATCTATTTAAATTACTGAAGAGTAGGCTAGGAAGTGACGATCACCATTTCCAACTCTCTATGGAGGAAGATTTCTGACAGCAGATGGCTTTTATTCCAACAGTCAAAGGCATAACAATATTTCAGTGGTTACAAGCTCAAGAGTCTCCTCATCACAGTGCCTATTAACCACTGAAACAATTTAGCAAAGGATGTGATGGATTCTTCCCTACTTCAAGATGTGTTCTAGCACAGAGCTAATTGCCTTGATTCATGACTTACTTCAAGGAATTCTATATCCTGTATTATGTAGGAGCTCTGAATAGATCATCTTAATGTCCTCTTCCATCCTTAAAAATCTATGAATCTCCATAACAGCCTCATGTAGAGATTGGCTAAATAAGAACAACTGGAACATAATACCCCTATCAGCTGTTGTTCTTTTAATCTCAAAAGGAAGAAAGATAAATGTAAAGCTCTCAGGACTAGAAATAATCCCTCTCTCAAATTTGATACAGAAGATGACAACTCCCAATGCGCAGGGCCACAACTGTAAGTTTACTAAGAAATTGTTCTTTAGAAACTGTTCTTTGCTTTTGAAGAGAAGAGAAAGAAGCATAAGCAAAACAAAACTTAGGTTAGCTCCCCATTGGCCAAGAGAGTCACATAAGGCAGGGTGTCCAGGGCTGCTTCTGCTCTTTAGCATCTACTACCCAACACTATTTGGACCTCTGATAAAGCGGGTGGGGGAAAAGAAAATTTTACTAGAGATAAAACTGTCTGCCAAGTTATTGTTACTGAACAGCAGCTACTATGTCTTATTGTCTTGGATAGGGATTCCTGTAGGGGAATAAAGAAGAAAGAATTATTCTCAGTGAGAAATTTCCTAATTTCACTTAATGAATGGCAATAGAATGGCTTTATAACTTACAAGTGAATGCCTAGTAGGCAGACTTCTCCTCCCAAATAAAGAACATCACGTAATATTCTGGCCCTGCATTTAGGCCTCACTCCTATATCATTCTCCATTCTACCTCTGATAATCAAGAGATTCCTTTGGCAAAAATACCATAACATGATAGACCTACTTGCTGGATAGGAACTTGCTCACAAAAAGGGCCTTAACAACACCCCCATATTTGCAAGGCCAATGCCCATCAGGTTCCAAGGACAATGGTGAACCTCATCACAACGGTATTTTCTTTCTTCTAAATATTGATCTTTCTTTTCCAGGTTGTTGCAGGAGAAGCGTACTATTTTCTCTTAGCAGAGGCAAAGATTCCTATTTTCTTTTCCCTGCAAACTTTCATAATGCTTACTCAAGAAGAAAATATTGGACTGGCTGCTAGTATACATGCAGTGAAGTACACAAGTAGGAGTTGATAAAGTAACATCCATACTTTTTGTTCAGGAGGCTTTACTGACAAGAGCCACGGTTTAAGCCATGAAAGAAAAGCAAAGAAAAATGCAATCAGCTAGTGTCCCCAGAGGAATAATAGTATTTAAAAAAATGGAGATGGAGATAGACTACAGATACTAGGATGTCAGGATGGGTGGGGAGTGGGAGAACTTGGAAGTGAGCAGGCTATCAGATACTTTCACTGTCAACTCTTTCATTTCCTTGTTTGCTGGAAAGGAAGAAAGGATTTATGGCAGAACAGAGGGCAAGGGAGACAGACAAAGAAAGAAATCAAATTTATTTAATTCTAACTAAAGACAGCCTCAATATAAAAATTGTATCTTTACTATGTTAAAAGTTACCTTTTTGTAATATCTCCTTCCTTGCCCAATACTTCCATGTATTGCAAACACTCAGACCAAATGAACCTTTCCCCATATATTCTTAGTGACAAGTCATTATATCTTGACTTCAGGGTACTTGTTTTTCTTCAACTAATCTTATTACAAATATTGTTTTTAAAACATATTGGTTGGGAAGGGACAAAAACATTAGACTTTGAGTTTTGCTTCCTAGGGGCTTCAAACTCATAACCAACATCTTGCTTTACAGTCATAGGAAATATATGCCATAGAGATCATTTAAAATTATTGTACCATTACGGCTCTGGGGACTGAACCCTTCCATCAATATGCAAAAACCTGTGAGATACTGGTAACTCATACCAATCTAATACTTCAAAACACTGATGCCACGAACTGGGACGCCTCAGTTTAATTACAGTTCTGAAGACAAATGTGACACTACCTGACAAGCATCACCAGCAGCTGGTAATAATTCAGTGTCACGGTGAATTAAATACTTTAGACAGCACTAATTCAGAAACTGAAGGTGAGAAATAGCAAAACATTCTAATTATATTAAGGTCCATTTTTAAGTATTACTTTTTCCACCTCATTTTAATAATTGGTCTTATTATTACATTTACTGGGGTAGCATACAAAAATCCAAATCAGTTCTGGGAACCTAATACAGAAGCCATTTACATCAAAGATTTCTCATGACTCAGAGAATTCTCTACTAGACAGCCAATCTGTTGGGCTTGAGCTGGGTGACTGGTGCCAGACTCAAGAATAGATCCTGACAATCAGAAGGCCACTTCTGTGCCAGCACTATACCAGGCATAAAAGTAAAGCATTAGGAAGAAAAATGTACAAACAACAATTAGCAAGAAACCATGTCTACATGTTTGCAGTTTCTTACCCTGAACCTTATACAGTCGCACTGTGTGTGTCACATGATGGAAAAAACATGTTACTTCTGAGAAAATCCTTCCATGAGTAACTCTCACAGTAGGTGGATCAGTGAATATATAAGGCTGCAAAAATAAAAAGCCATAGTTATTACAACTGTATAAAAATAATTTGTTGTAATATTGTTGTCAGGAAGCAAAACATAATTTATTAGCCTCAAACATTAATTTTAAATAGTTTTTATGCAGAAAGCATATTACAATATAGGTCTAGAAATCTGAACAAAGCACTAGATACTAAAAAATCCTAATTTCTATTGCAAGACAAGAATTCTCGTTGGCAAAATGTTTTATTGGACCATGCTGTTGCTGGCACTGGCTTCTGACTTCTGGATCTTGTCTTGATCTGTGACTTGGACTCTCCTTGTGGATTTCACTTTGAGCTGGTAACTTGGTCACTGATTCCTGAACCCTGACTTTGCCTGTGGTTTGGTTCCTGCCCCCTGCCAATGGCTTAATCACTAGGCCAGCCACCCATGACCTTGTCCTTACCAGATCTTTATCCCCTAGTATCCCACAGTGCTCCACTCAATTTCTTCTCCAAGTGAGTAAGAAAGGCTGGTTCTCTGACAGCTGATGGCGAGAAGAGCTGCAGCTTTGCTCATTGCCATGGTCGTTAAAAAGCCAGTACTGCCCCAGGGAAGCAACTCTGTTGGTAGACACAGCTGCTGGTGCTGCCACTGCAGTGATCATGGAGCAATGGCTTTCAAAGACAGCCTACCCTTCCCCCTACCCAAAACAGCCTTCTCTCCTGCCAGGAACAGGTGGAACCTGACAAGCACAGTTCCAGCTACCGGGGGGGGGGGG